AACTAAGAGTAAGTTTAGGCAGGAGTTAATAGGGCACATATGTAGATAGTTAATAGGCACATGTAATGTTAGGAACATGTTACTTTTAAATTTTAGGCACCTTAATTATTGCCTTCATTAATATCAACTTGGAGTACTGTCTCTTCTTTTGGCAGACAAAAAACTAACACATGGTATATGAAACTAATTTGTTGATCGATTCCAGGAGACATCAGAAATGACCAAAACGAGCGGACACAACAATATACCAGCTCTTACCGCCATGTTAATTTTGTGTACCAGGTATATGTGTTAAAATATGTATGTAAAATATGTATTAGGACTTCAACTCTGGTAGGCTTTCTATATTCCCCTATGCATGGTGAGAGTGAGTACGCTAATATTACTCAAGAGCACATCCGGCCGTCGATGCAAATACACATGGCGCAAGTAACAAACAAGGCCGATTTACAGGGCACTGCCTTGAACCACGTCCTGTTGTGATCATATCAGTTTCCATCGGTTTTGGTAGACAAAAAATTGTTTTAAAGAATCAAATGGGATCTCTAATGGCGTAATTGCCTCTCCTATGAAACCATTAGGCAGACCATGATAACAGTTGAAGATAACATTGTACATGATATATCTGACGGTTGACATTGATAGAAAACATCATCATCCTCCTTCCGCCCATGTGGGCGGGGTCAGCCCCCGCACTAGTTGCTTCCACATAACTCTTCCTGTCATAAGTTGTGCATGTATTCAGTTTGAAAGGACTATGCATTTGGTTAGATATAACTAAAAATGTATTAAACTATCTTATGTATTAGATCTTAGATCTAAAAATTGTGATGAGCGTAATGAGAGCAAAACACTTTTGCTTTGGGCTCGTGTGTATACAAAGATGTATTCATCTATTAATTTGCGTACTCCTTAAACTTGGGAGCAACCACAATTGAAGGACGTAGATTATTTATTTAAGCTTTGTCCCAAGACAGAACAGGGGGAACAGGCAAATGCCTTTTCCAAGCCCCCTGTCCCGATTAAAGCAGAGAAAACTAACTTATAAGTAATATAGAGGTAATAAATACAAGTTATAAGAAGTAAATAATAAAAATATATTGTAATAACTACGATAACAAAGATATAAATAATGATAGAAACAGTAATGATGATAATGGCAGTAGTTGTAATATATAAGAGTCTAACAACAAAGAATGCGCCAGCTGTGGGTGTTTTGCGGATCAAAAGAGTTCAAAACGAGATATTGGCAGTGACTAAGTATGAAATTTTTAAAAGTTTCAATGGATACTTTTTGGCATGATTTATGGTGCAAAAGTTAGTATTTGTTTCCGGTCGGTTTTGGTGCCCGATGATCCCATGACCAGTTAAACAACACGCAAAAAACAGTTACTCAAGCAACTGGATATGCTTTTGGAAACGGGCAGACGTTTCAGCTAGTATTCACTACCTTTCGTCAGTGACACCAAGAGACTGCAGGAGAAATGTAGGTTTATATGAGCACGAACTATTGATTGATATGCAGTTAAACAACAGTTTTGTCTCGGCTGATACGAATTATGGAGGTGGTACCGACTGTACATTAGCCTCATTTCCTGGCCGAACAACTCAGCCATTGTCAAAAATAGTTTAGGACTCGGTGATGAGTTTCCAACACAGGCGACTGAAGGTCATTGCTGAAAAGGTCACTGACACTGATTCATTTTAAAAGTCAAATGCCAAATATATTTCTCCTGTGGTGGCTAAATGGACGATCAATCCAAGGCACCCGCCCTGCTAGTTAGTGATGGAACATGACATAGCTGATCCTCATCCTACAAAATTTGAACATATTACACACATTCTGCTTGGACAAGACTACTAAACCTGTTGAGATATCCAACGAGGTCTTGTTACATAATATCACTGTCGTAGCTCATTAACTTTTCTTCTTTCAAAGGCATCCAATGCAATTTCAAGGCAACAAAACTGGATTTTCAAAGTCAATTTTCTGGCCATTCTAAATGTAGTAACTTAGTCAAGTTGACCACGTATCACAGGCTGGTTCTATTAAGAGTAAACTTAACATAGTCAGCATTGAGTGATGTGTTAATTGCCACAAGCCGAAACGTACCTGAAGAATGATTATGCTTCTTGGCAAGTGTTTGGTGCTTTTAGTTACCTGTGATTGATACCACGGGTACAAAATCCCCTAAACACATCCGTGGGCAGAACGGCATAGGATTAAGACGCGGAGACAAAGAACGCCCATCAGTTAGCACCTTAAGTGTTCCCAGGCGCTGTGTACAGGTAATTATCTCACATTTAAGTCTCCACAAGACGCTCCTGTCGTTTGTCATGAAAAGAAAGTGCTGACCTCTATGACATTGCCCTCCATTATGTATAGGTGTCAACAATTTGTCGCCGTCTTCACCATGGATCATGTTGTTACGAACGTGTGTGATGTACCATAACAAGAAAAAAAAGAATAGATTGTTTTATCTAAGACAGCTCAAGAAAATTGTTTGAATGCCCTAAATAGAATAGCATATTACTATTCTTTTAAGCCACCATTTTGTGTATATTTGCCCCCCCCCCTTCACAATGGATCATGTTGTTACGAACGTGTGTGATGTAGCATAACGGAAAAAATAGAATGGATTGTTTCATCTAAGACAACTCAAGTAAATTGTTTGAATCCCACCGCTGCCACCAGCGTTCTAATTGGAATAGCATATTCCTGTTCCTCTTCTTTGAAACAGCCGTTTTGTGTATGTTTGACCTGCCCTGAACATGCGTTGCGAGACCGATGCTTTTAAGAGTAGGCTGCGAGGTGACTCCCGTGATGACCTCGTCTCTCTCGATTCATGGCTTAGAGAATGTGCGACTGTGCAAAACAATGAATATACTATTGGGGTCAACGTTTGCACAATGTTCTTTATATCGGTAAGTGCTATCGGTTTGATCCATAGGGTACATTGCAATAAAATCACACTAAAAAGATAGGAGGAAAGACTGAGGGTGCCGCGGCCTACTCGGCAGCTACAATGTGAAACAGTAAGTTTTTTCGGTTCACTCGTTGTATTGCGTGCTCTTTAAAAATGGATATTGCTAGTGTAAACATGTCCAAAAATAGAACCAAAATATTGTGGCTAAGATCTCTTTATAAACGAAAATGCGAATCCTGCTGTATGTGTTCTTGAAACAGCATACCGAAATGATGTTTTATAGTCACCTGGAAGTGGGGATTTTCTGCATTTATGCATCTCTATTCGTCAAAAAGTCCTTTTTGCAGTGCGTTCTGGCAAAGGCAGACAATGTGACGATACTTATGTCGTAAAGGGTGATTATGGATCAGATTTTTTACCTGCTATCCTCAGGGGCATGTTTCATCTAGTAATGAGTCAACCGATAAAATCTTTAAGATAGCAAACATTCAAACATTATTTTCAGTCTTCCCAAGCAGATTTAGGAAAAGTCTGAATACGTTAGGCCCTCATTCTAACGACAAGGGAAACAGCAGTCACCTTTAGTTTTCCCGCATCTGTCTTTTATGTTCGACCGGCGAGTCATTAGTGAAATTGGCTGCCTTGTTGTCCTCTAAACTCGTCACCACCGGTTACGAAAATTACAACTCCATCGAAACAGGCCGCGACATCAAATGGCAAAGGCCAGGCTTGATCAACATCATTTGTTTAATTCTAAGTGCATTTCAAGGCACTTTGTACTAGATTGGATTGCACTCAGGGGATTGTCCTCGCCAACAAAAATGGCCACCAATCCCCTTTTATTCTACTATCGGTTATCCTGCGGTGATTGTATAGTCCCTGGGCTTAGCGTAATAGTGTATTGGAAGGGGTTGCTGATATACAAGAAGTAAATCCAATTTGTTGTGGCAGAGAAAGGCAATCATTTTTGCAAAGTATGTCTCCAAAGCTGCTTAAAGGTGCTTTGTAACTTTTTCGTTTCTTTGATACTTAAATACTGGCCCACTGTGTGTCTTGCTAGACCACGCCTCCACATTACCCAAATAGAGCTTTCATGTTGGAATGGGTTCTATGGAAGTTAAAATAATGGGAGGGATTTTTTTCGGTAGCTGACTAGCTTTTACAGGCAATGCGTAGATGGTTATCTAGAACATCTCCTCTGGACAGCTTTAATAGTAACGGAGGCCATAGCGTTATTTATGCATCGTTAGCTAACGGTTTTATGTTATATTACACCGTAATGGGTAGGAATGACCTAAACTTTCCATTGCCCTCATTTTCTTTCCCTCTGTATGTGGGCACGTGGCAGGAAGGAAGTATCTGCCATAAAACAACGGCGAGTCGATGACAGGTTGTTAAATGTGGCTCGCTGGGCGTCCTTTCTCCACCATTTACATTAACAGGCGCATCACAATTTCACCCCAATTTTCACAAGGCGATTTGGCATGCTATGTGTTTTAAAGTGGAAACTAGTTTTACGTCCCCTATTAGCGTGTAGCATTATATTGCCTACTGGACACATAAGATCAACCTCATGAAGGTAATTTGCATGAAATCGATGTCATAACTGCCTGCTACGGATCTACATATACAGAATATCGGAATTATGTAGAGAATCGTGGTGTGGGGTACAAGACTTATTCTAATTATGTAATAATTATCATTGCGTTTTCTGTGTTTAACACTGTGTTTTATATGGTATGGCTACAAGTATCTGTCGTGGCGTGTGCATATATTTGTAGAATATCAGATATATGCAGAGAATTCTGTCACATACCACAGGACCGATGCTGTTTCCTTGTTACATTTACCGAATGAAAAATTATTTTCCTCAGTTTCCTCTTCCTCTTCTTCTTCTCCAAACAGTGACCTGAACCAATGTTGTGTCTGTTACCATGGTAACTAGTGTTGGGTTACATCATGTTGCAATGTCTGACCATATATTATATGGATGTGTTTGAGTAGGAATTAAAAGAGCAGACCATATGCGAAGGTAAACAAGTTGCGAATGTTACCTTTCTTGTTGTATTTCAGATGGCTATACCGACGAGGAATTGGAGTTGGGTTGGAAAGCTGGGAACGCCTCCGTGACCGGGCTGGGCCGGCTGGACCTCTCCCAGTTCACCGTCGGAGTTTATAACACAGTCGCCAAACTTGTCAAATACGAAACAGGTAAGGCCGGCATAGCACATCAACACGTCAGATACCATACAGTAACTCCTCTGCAAAATAGTGGGGTCGAATGGCGTAGTGGCAAAGTGCTCGACTCGGAACCAAGAGGTCCCGGATTCGAGTCATAATATGCCACCGATCTTGCGCCCTCGGGAAAGACACTTAACACGACTTTCCTCACTTCGCTCAGGTGAAAATATGCATTGCATTGTCCGCTGTGTTGGTGGCGTCATTAATATAAGTAAAAACTAGAGAGGCCGACATTTGCTTGGGAGCAAATACAGCATATTTCAGTCCATCTCCCTCCCACGCAAAAGTGGACTATTCCAAACTTACCCCAGTGTAAAACTGGCAAAGATTCTCAAATAAATGAATTATATACAGTAGTAGTAGTAGGTATGTAATTGAGAACAAAGATGCAAGATCAAGCACATTGAATCTCGAAAGCTTTACTAGTCTTATTACAGGTATGCAAATACTAACAATGATGAGATTTGATATATTTTGAAGGTCTTAGGCACATAAAATTGAATGTGTGGGTCATTCCGCATGACTTACGTGCAATGTGACCTCAGGTAACCCGCAATGGAACACGTGTTCCATGGATGGAACCGGCCATTCTTTAGACAGAACATGGAACGGGTACAGCGCTTTTGGCCCTTTTTTTGCTGAAAATAGCCATTAAAGTCCTCCAAATGAGTCATTTGGAAGTGGTGTATGCCAAATATGTGACTGCTATTCTGTAGACACATGTTCAAGGTACCCTTATACCGAATTTCAGATCATTTGGTTGTAAAACCAGGGCTCAGGATCCAAAAATCCATTTTTTGGCGAAAAATGCCCCAAAAACTTCATAAAATTTTTCAAAGGCATGTATCACAAAAATGAAAAAACGCCTGGGGGTATTGGCCCACTCTACCTCCATGCCAAATTTCAAGTCATTTGGCTGAATGATGGCGGAGTTGAATCCCTTTGACTGTTTGGCAGGAGGAGAAGGAGGAGAAGGAGAAGAAGAAACACCAGAGAACACAATATATTTCATCCATAACATGGTATGGACTGAAATATAAAAAAAAACTTCAGTGTGCCGTCACCACGTCTTGTGATAACATGTTAAAATGTAACAAAATAGTATATATATATTCATCTTTCGGTAGTCTTTATTTCAGGTATATTGACCCGTACCAATAAGGAATACGCATATCCAAACAGAATACACATTTCTGGGAAAGTTATTCCAGTGTCGACAGCCTGTATTCAATGTATCCAATTTTGAGTAACAGCCGATAGCCATTTCAATTATTCTGATAGAGATCTCAAATCAACGCGCCGCATTTTATGAATGACTGTGGGCAAAGGAAGGGATACTGCTGGAAAAGTGAATTTGTGTTATGAATTGTAAACATGTCGTCTTTATTCCATCAAGCTCGTCTGGCATTTCGTCTATGTACAACGCTTCACACGCTCTCCATTAAAATCTTGCGGCTTTCATAATTTGTGTATTACATCTACACATACTGTGTGGAAAACTGAGTCGCAAAAAGCACAAAACTAAACACCAACTTAAACCATGTGTCTAACAACATCTTATCAAGTCATGGCAATGTCCGAAAGGCATGTCCTAACTCGGTAGCGCCTTTGTGGGGGATTAATGTGAAAATAGACGGTTAATGGAATTCCTCAGGCAATAAAAGTACTTTGTCGCATTATAAGTCCATTGGCGCTTGTCTGGGATATTAATGCAAATGAGAAAAACAATCAGATCGCCCAAGGTGTAAATTGATGTTAAGAAAATAAGAACTGCACGACAATTGCACATGGTACAAAGTATGGCAACAACTATTGAACAAAGTACAAAAAAAGGGCATAGATAATAAATCCTAACTACTCAAACAACAGGGGCTAGCACAAGTCTGTCTTTGATATAACGTTACAAGTCTGGTGAAAGCTACAGTGACGTAAGAAGGCAATTTGGGAATTATACCTGCATTTTGCCACACCGGCTTATCATTGAATATCGCTTCCGTGAATGACGCATCTCGTCTGCATATGCGTTGTATGTTTTCATGTCACGTGGAGAGATAATCCAAATCAGCTTGTCCTGAGATGCCCCACATACCTTGTTAGGTCGTGACGTGACCAAAATTCATGCATATGCCTGCTGCATGCGATATGAACTATTGGAAACGATGAGATCTATGACGCTCTAAATATGTACCATTAATATAGATTCTGGATTCTTTATTGACTCAACAAAAAGTACAGGGACTTTTGTATGGTCTTTTCTAACAAAGCTAAATTCATGCATGAATAACTTCACACTATGTACAGAATATATGTATGTGGCAAATTACGTACGTAATATATGTCAGCGGCAACAGTAAGGTTTAACTATTCTCTAACATGTAGTCTCCAAGATTTAAACATTCTTTAATGTACTTTCCTATTTGAACATTGTACAAATGACATTGATCAAGTAGTAATGTTGAGGTTTTTAATTAGCGCAACTTTTAAAAACACTGCAAAGACAAGCATATTTTACAGTGAAGGTGCTTCCTATATCGCATATTTACTTTCGTTGCAGATCTAATATATCTTGTGCCATTATGAATAATCACCGGTACCAACTCCGCATGGTGACGAGCTGATTTTGATCTGGCATCAGCAATATCACCCTCTAGCTATTAATTTATCTCACACGGGATATCGAATAAACGTGCAGCTATTAGTGACAACTTTAACGATAATATTGTAAATATGCAACATTTAGGATATCACCCGTGAACTTAAATCGCCTTCCGATGCTGCTTTGTTGGCTCGGTCGTCGTAAACGCTGACACTAAATCGCAAAGACACACTTAGCTGTCTAACACAGTAAAGAGAATCTAGCTAGTGCACCCTGTACTTATTACGGATCTTTTACATCCACATTAGTTAACAATTACTGCCAATCCGGGTTTATCATCGCTGTATGATTCAAAGTTATTGCACAGTATAATCAGCAGTGTAACGTTGGTTGCATCTCATGAAAATAGCAACCAGCTGCAGCATCAATGCTCGAACCCCTGGAAGCCCCAGCCTCGTGTTGTCTATGGCAGTTTTGATTGGAAATGTTGGGGAAGAATGGATGCATTATGATTCCTCTGAAAGCAGCTCAATCACGGGTTTAACCCCCCTCTCTGACCTAATAAGCCGGAACCATTATTGTTTTACTCCCCTTTACGAACCCACCTAACCTCCAGGACCTCAATTATCCGCTGTCGTGGAGCTCGCTGTGGTTTGAAGAGTGACGTTCCTTAAGAAAGTGGAGTTAAACAAAGTCTGGTAAGAGCTTCTCAAACCGAATAACCTCAAACGCAGTCAGGTCAGACAAGATAGAAATTGGCTTTTGGGCGGGCAGATATCAAGAAGGCAGCGCGAGACGGGAATACATAGACGGCGATTCACGGATGTAATGCGTGCAAATTACGATGCGGTACTGCAATCAAGTAGTTAGCAAGAATAGATCAGTTTGAGTACGTGGATGCACGGTTGAACGCACAAAAGATATTAGATGGGGGAGAGGACCAAATGAGTAGTTGGAATTGAATCCACCTTGTGCAACTGTGACTTAAGACCCTAAAACGTCGTTAAACATATTCGCTAGCACTTCTCGTTATAAGTTTGTGGCATCGCTTTTGCGAGTTCAATAGTCGTTCAATTTTCTCTGCCATAGCAGCTTTAAGCAAGCTGGAATACGTAAATCTTTATGACTTACTAGTCTTCCGTCTTTGCCAACTGCAACGAAATGATTTCAAATATATGGTCCATGTATTTCAGCCTTTTGTTAGCTTTAAAGCCATTACTTTATCCCATTGTCACACGTCATAAAACTATATCTCGTTAGCCTATCAAATGCAATATTGCACATAACCATAAAGGATCAGCGATAATTCTACAATAGATAGCTTATTCTAATGTTTCATTTAGATTGGAAATCAAATTTGTGTCTGTCGTGCGGAGCATATATGCGGAATATCAGAATGCAAAGTCACGACTTCTTTGCGTTTGGCTGCGCTTCTTGGAAATGATGATCCCTTTAGTGTCATCAATACCCATTTTATACCCATGCTGCGTTCACCCCTGGAAATGAATACATTTTATATGAGGAGCGACCACAGTTAGGTTACTGCAACAATTTACAGGTGGTTCAACTGGATATATTCGTTCTACCTGTGTGCAGACAAAGATGCAATTAGAAAAAAATAATTTCTAAGTTTCTCCACAAATACCAATGACATTTCGTTTTGTTTCTTGTTTCAGGTAGAATACGTTTTGTCCATACTATCAATAATGGTACTACTTAGCTCATATATACATTTGTATATAGCTGAAAATATCTACAGGATACGCCTACGTATACGGACTGAATATAGTTTTATCGAACATGTCCATGAAGTCAACCGTATCTATGGTGTATCCTATAGCTGGTTACTACATAACTTTACACTGTCAGTTAGCAACATTGACTGGCAGCAAAGTTACTAATTTTTTACCTGCTATGTCCTTGACTAATAAGTTAAAGCTGATGAGTAGGAGATCGCAGACATAGACAAGGGTTGAAATCACTTCCACCTACACGCGAATAACCAGAATTTATGTGACCGTTACGAAATTGCAATCTTTGGCAATATCATGATAGCGGAAGAGCGCTGGCCTGTGAAGCGCGATAACGTTCTGATAACCCAAGTTGCTGAGATTTCCTGTTCGATGTCTCCCCGGAGACCCACAAACTACCAGATGTGTAGACAGGCTCTGGCGTTTCCACCTGGGTACAACTTCAGGCCACACCAATTTAATTTGTTGATTCTCAGATTCGCCTCTTCATTTTTTTTCTGATTTGCAAAAAAAAAATTCTGGTTCTGAATCAACTCAAATATGTTCATTTTTACCCCCAGTTATGAAAAGACCTGTTTTGTTCGCCCTGTCGCTTCTTTTTTTTTTCTGAAAAAATCCTTGAT